CCCCCCCCCCCCCTCCCCCCGTTCCTAATTTAGGGCCTGTTGATGATTGCCGCATGACGCCGAAATGGCGCCAAAACACAAAAAGGATTTTTAAGTTGTTTGAAACGTTAAAAAACATTACAAAATGTCGTCAAGTACAAGAATACCGTATTTACTCGTTTCAGCGCCGCGGCGCTCTTTAAATTTTCATAGGCATCATAGCTTCAGATGCGGCGCTCATTTGGGGGCGGCGCTCAATCGGGGGACGGCGCTCTTTACTAACATCTTTTATTTGTGAATTATAAGAAGAACTTTTAACAATAAAATAAACAAGTTTTGAATGTCTTTGTCACTAAATGTCCCCATTTTGACGGCCGGAAAGTTTTTACACTGTTTGGTACGGCGCTCATTCAGGGGCGGCGCTCCTTAAAAAAATTGATCTCAAATGCGGCGCTCATTCGGGGGCGGCGCTCATTCGGGGGCGGCGCTCAAACGAGTAAATACGGTAAGCGCCGAGATTAAATTCAGGAAAACTTATCTATCGATCGTATGTATTTTTGAGCTATTCTAATCTATTCAAAGCACATACATTCTATTTCGGGCGGCCGAGTTACCCGGGCAATGTGTTTACATGCATGGTAATATATTCATCCCACCTACATGCACACTCAAAAATCTCACATCTTGTAACAAAGTTTGTCAACAAGTTGTCTTCGCACTGCTTGTCACAAGTTGTCAACTAGTTTGGAACAAGCTGTTAACAATTTTGTTGTTGATATTATCAGGCTTGTTACAAGGTTGTTCCAACAAGTCCGCCGGATACAGTCATGATCAGTGGCGTAAATCTCGGTGGGGCAGGGGGGCGGCCGCCCCCCCCCCCGCCACCTTCGTGGAAAATGACGAATTTCCGGAAATTTTGACCTATAAGAGGGCTAAAAACAGCCTTTTCTAGTGCAAATGGGGGGGGGGGGGGTTGTCGGAAATTTGAAAGTTTTGTCGGAAATTTAGAAGGCTTCGCTCCCCCACCGGAAAAAGTGAATTTCTGTCACTGGTCATGATATAGCAGTATTGTTACAACCTGGTGTCGTCAACCTTGTAACATTCTTGTTATCGATATGACTGTTCAGACAGAACAACCAGTGTGACAAGTCTGATAATATGAACAAGGTTGTTACAAATTGTACATGTTAACAGCTTGTTCCAAACTTGTTCCAACAACTGGGAACAAGTGGTGCAAAGACAACTTGTTGTCAGCTTGTGAACAGATTTGTAACAACTTGTTTGCAGGCTTGTAAGAACTTGTACGTTTTTACGTGTGTAGGTGATATCCCGCCTCTTTCTGCTGGGAACTCGCCAATGCGAATTTAATACTCGGTTGCATCATGTAAACAGTCACCGCGGGGATTAAGTTTTTATAATAGCCGGGATCTCGCCTTTGCCGAGTAACTCGCCTTGCCTGCATGCATGCAATGCCGGGTAATTCGCCTCCATGATAATCAGGCCCTTAATACTCCTTTGAATTAGACTGAAAAACACATTAATTTAATATTAAGTTTTACAAGAATAGCACACATAAGCATGTAGATACTGTATAAAATTTAGAATCCCAACTAAAATTAAAATTCGATTGGCTGCCATCCGCTGCCAAATAGTGACTAATTAAATAGATTAATATATCATACAGATTTGTCAGATTACATAATCATAGCTAGACTACATATATAATATCATTGCCGAACTCATTTCAACTCATCATTCTGGCATATCTTAAAACCTTCAATTTGCCAAGATTTGCATGCCTGCTCAGTTATACATGATTTCAGAAACTAATAGCCAGTAAGTATTTGGGAAGAGGGGAGTCATAACAATTCCCTTATCTTTGTTTACACTATGAAACATATGGGGGGGGACACACACACATACACTAAATAAATTATGAACGCTCCCTAATCTAAAATTTTGTATTTTAAAAGTACCAATCATTTATTGCAATATACTCAATAGTTTTAATTTCGCGTAATATCTCACTGAAAACTGAATTTATAACCCTAATTTTTTTATATAATCTTCCACTAGATAATCCCTTTACAACTATGCAAAATGTCAGAAACTTTGACCGAAGGACATTTTAATAAATTCATTTTTAGTCAAAATTTGATCTCTGTCTGCTGTCCGCTTAGGCCAGATTGTTCCATAGCAACACACAATTTGCTTCGATCAGTTCGAACGATTATGGTTGAAATACAGAGTCATTGTGAAGACCTATTCTTCGCTGCTGTTTCTTTACAAGGACCTCGATCCCAGATTTCAAAATTTTCCTGCGGAGAATGCCCCCGGACCCCCCATTGCCCCGAATCATAGTGTTATGGAGTCACGAGCGGCCCCAAGTCAAATTTTGCCCTAGGCTCCCAAATTTGCCTGGGCGACCCTCGGTGCTGTGCAGAGTATGTTGGTTTTGGCAATTGGGATTGGAACATTCCATCTTTCACCTCATGAAAATATTGCACTCATAAACATTCATTATTTATAAGGGTGTGTTCAGAAATTTTCAGGGCGTGCTTCTGCTCAGCTAATTACTTTGCACAAAAATGTGTAGTGATAAAATTTCTTAGAATTAGGTATGGGTTCCCCTTTTTTGTTTTGGACAAATATCCAACATTTGAAATACAAACAATGGTAACGTTACTCCGAAAACGGTAAACATTTCAAAGACTTCAAAAAAGTAGACTCCCAAATTTGGCTTTTGTGTGCGTAATATTTGGATAACAAGAAATGTAAAAAGGGTCGTAAAAAGGGGCGTAAAAAGTAAAAACTAGCTAGTCCGCTTTGGTAGCCGTGCAGCAATATGCATATTTTACGTGTGCAAAGCCGGAGAAAAAGAGGAAGAAATCACAGAATCGTGCGCCTTTAAAACCTTTATTAAGGATCTGTCAAGGTTGCAACTTGCAAGTAGTTAAAAATAAGCGCAATATATAGATCTCTTTTTTAAAATACTATTCTTCACAATTTTACTGATATTTACTGTAACCTGGAGAATGGCTAATTTGAGGATTTTTCTTCCGATAATAGAGAGCTAGGTTCAGATTAAACTGACTTCCACTACCGCTATCGTTACCGGTATACTTAATCAGTGGCGTAACGCTCATTAGGTAGGGTTAGTTAAAAAAGCCCAGAAAATTAGAAAACGTAAAAAATACAGGTTAAGAATCAATGGGAAAATGCAAAATTAATAATGCTAAATAATAAAGCCTCCATCGACAACGGTAGCTGATTTTTTATTCCATATCAAAAATAAAACAAATGTTATTCTTATTAGTTGTTACATGTTTTGGAGACTATTATTAAATATTGTTATTGTTATGGACACGCGATTTTCCAGAACATTCTATAAATATTCAATATAAATATAATATCTCAGTCAAACAATGACAACCGCCAAAAGGGGCTCCTACACCAAATATGCAGTGGCGCCGTGGGTGCCAGTGGTGCCGCGGATGTCTCAACAATAGGGGGCATTCCCCCCTGCCCCCCCCCCCGGCCACTGCAAATATGCCTAAGGACTATTACCCAATCAGATGTGTTTAATATATCCGATTAACCCGGAGCGATTAACCAATCAGATGGGGGTACTAAGCCATTGAAAGGTTCGGTGGAGTCAAATCTGAACCTCTCTATTAAAAATCAAACAGATCGGCTTTGTGGACGTTGTGCGTTATAATATTGTTGGGGGATTTCCCCCGACAATTATAACACACAAAGTCCACAAAATCTCTGTGGGGAAGACAATGGGGTATTCCAAGAGAATGTTTTGTCAGTGTAGTGTATCATCCCGTCTTTTTAATGGTAATTTTTGGCATGTACATTTTAACTAAACAAAGTTAAATAAACCTAATAATGTACATATAAAATCTACGACGTTTGTACATGTAAAATGCGTGAGAACTTTCAACCATGAAATGGCGAGAACTTCAGGGCATAGGGCCTCTTTTAAGGATGTGTAACTGGAGGGGACATATTTAGCAGGGGACCTCGAGAAGTTCCAGTTAATTGGCAAGTCTGTATCACTGCAGCTACCAGCATATGATCAGACCGTAATTAGGATTCTGGGACACCCGAGTCGATCACCAAAGGTGCAAGCCT